CCTTCACGGGCGCCAGCGTCGACGTGAGGATGAGCGTCTTGGAGGCGGCCTGCAGCAGCGGGGCTGTCTTGGGGTGCCCCAGGCCGCCCAGAGGGCTAGGGGCGAAGGCCACAGCACCCATGGGGGAGCTGGCGGGAGGCGAGGAGGAGCAGGAGGAGGAGGAAGGCTGCAGGCCTGGCAGCTTGAAGGGGACAGAGGCGGCCTCGGCCATCACCGACTTGGTGAGCGCAGAGAGCTTGGCGTCCGACATGACGTAAAGCGTCTTCATGGGGCTCGTGCTGGTCACTGCGGGGAAGGGGACAGAGCAGTCAGGGCACGCAGGGGCTCAACGCAGAGACCTTCCCTTATCCCTTCCCAAAGCATCCCCGGAAACGTCCCCTCGCACGCGGAGGGGCCGGTGAGGCCGCGTGCTCCTGCTCGCCCCACGCTGCCCTCCGGGCCATGCCATGTTTGTGCCTCTCCGGACCAGCCCTGGTGCCGCTCCGGCACCTCCAGCCCAGCTCGGGACAGCAGCCGAGGTCGGCTGCCCGTCACACTCCATGCCAGGTGGATGAGAGATCTCAGGACTCGCGAAACGACGCCCTTCATCCTCCTCTTCCTCACATTGCAGGCAGCAGGGGAGGCTGTTACCCCCTCCCGAGTCGGTTCCCTAGCAGAAACGCAGCCCCCGACCACGACGGGGGTCACCGCAAGACCGGACACGAGCGCTGCCACCAGAAGAGCAGCAGGACACGTCACCCAAGGGACGTTCAGACGCACTCAAAGCAGAGACCTGCAGCTGGCCGAGTCGACCGTAGACCCCAACCTTGGGGTCACCCAGGTGCCATCCGAGGCTCCTGCTAGCGCCAGGCGGCCGGATCCCGCTCGCAAGCGGCAGCATCCGAGACACCACGACGGCCGCGAGAGACGGCCCCGGAGCCAGCACCGCTCCGAGCCGGGGTGAACGCAGGCGTCCGACCTCTGCCAGGGGCTGCAGGGCAGCGCAGCGGGAGCGCTCCCGGCTCCGGCGCGCTCCGGAGCCGCCTCGCTTGCCCCTGGGTAACGCGGTGCCGCTTCCTTCCTCATTCATCATCTCAGCCCTCAGGCCCGGCCTAAGCGCTTCAGACCCGCGTGCGCCTCCGTCCACCTGGAAATCCCTGGGACCGTGCGGTATCGGAACACCAATAACGGGCACTTTTACAGCGAAGGTTTTGAGGATGGTGGGGACAGCGTCACTGCCCCGCGCAGCCGATCCGTGCGAAGCTGCTGACTGAGCTCCGCAGCATTCATTTGGCGGGAACGGGTCGGATCCGCTCCCCCTCCACGAGACACCTGCAGGGCACACAGGAGCAAGGACTAAAACCAAGCAGCTCTGCAAGGGCCGAGAGTCCCTTCCGCCTCCAGGCTAACCCGAGCCTTCCTCAACCGCTCCGAAACGGCTGCGCAGAGCCAACCAGGGCCATCCCGAACCCAACCTAGACAGAAGCGGCGCCGGCTCTGGCCTTACCCACGGG